GATCTGGGGAGAAGGGTGAGCTCCCACTGTTAGCCCCAGCTTCTGCCAACCTAGCAGTTCGAAATCATGCAAATGTGAGTAGATCAATAGGTACCGCTTCTGCGGGAAGGTAATGGCACTCTGTGCAGTCATGCTGGCCACATGACCTTGGAGGTGTCTATGAACAATGCCAGCTCTTTGGCTTAGAAATGGAGATGAGTGATTTGACTTAATGTCAGGGGAAAACCTAGGAGCCCCCGGTTGTGCAGTGGGTTAAACCCCTGTGCCGGCAGGACTGAAGACCGACAGGTTGCAGGTTTGAATCTGGGGAGAGGCGGATGAGCTCCCTCTATCAACTCCAGCTCCTCATGCGGGGACATGAGAGAAGCCTCCCACAAGGATGATGAAACATCAAATCATCCGGGTGTCCCCTGGGCAATGTCCTTGCAGACGGCCAATTCTCTCACACCAGAAGTGACTTGCAGTTTCTCAAGTCGCTCCTGACACAACAAAAAAAAAAAGGGGGGGGGACCTTTACCTACCTTATATATGTGTGTGTGTGTGTGTTGTACATTAAAAAAGCTCTTTACTGACCTCCAATAGTCATATATATTTCTAGTTTGGATGCAAACAGCTAAGAACAGGTAGGATTGGTTCCAACATTATGGTTAACTCTGCCACAGAGGAAAAACTGGGTGGTTACCTAAGGAGCCACGTGTAAGGGTTGGTATAAATATGACTATTTATATACTGCATGGAGCCACAGAAAGGGAACTAGTCAATGTTTCTTTAGCAAAGAGAAGACTTTTGCAGCTGGCTATAAGTCAGATGTTCAGACTCTTCCTCTGGGGAAGACTTAAGGCATTTTGCAGCAAAGCAGCCAATAGTGCCCCTCCCTCCTGGTCATTCAAGGTGTATAGTACTCACGTTAGGCATATGTGGCAAAAGGTTCCACATATGGCTTTTTCTTTTGCATTAAAATTACATTATCTCTTTCATTAACATCAGCATTGTTTCAAATGAGGCAGAAGGTGTCATTCCAAAGGAGATTAATCAGAGAATGCAAGCTGTTTATGGTGATTGTGTTGATGTGAGTACTGTGCTTCGTTGAGCAAGTAAGTTTAAAGATGTTGAGGTGACACCTTCTGCTGTCAAGAATTCAATGGTTGCATGTTGCTTAAGTCACATTGACCGACCATCTGTGCAGGGTTCCATATTTCGCACTTTAACAACACAACCATTCAATGCTAAGGCTTCACGCCAAAATGGAACTGTAGAGGAGAGTCTACTGAACAAGCCAGTACCTGCAGCATACCAGTACTGCCATCTGTTGAGGAGTTACGAAGGTGGAGGCATTATTTTTCATTCAACCCTCGTATTATATAGATAAAGCCAATACATTACAGGCTACATAGGTTTTATATTAACAAGGAAAATGTTTTAAACAATAGCATACACTCATGGTGTCTAAGCTACACAAATAATTGAAAATAGCCCTGAAAAGATAGATGTCCAAAACAAATCCATTCCAGATTTCGAAGAAAAGAGTAAACGTTATCAAGTTGCTTCTAATTCCATGTCCGTTTTGCTTGTGTTTTCCCCTTAAATGAACTCTTTTGACACAGACTGATATGCCAGTACTGCCATCTGTTGAGGAGTTATGAAGGTGGAGGCATTACTTTTCATTCAACCCTAGTACTGCAATTTTATTTATTTATTTATTTATTTACTACGCTTCTATACCGCCATTCTCAGCCTGAGGGCGACTCATGGCAGTTTACAAAACGGCACAATTTGATGCCCACAACAGTAGAAAAATAACTTAAACATTAAAAACATTTAACACAGGTAAAAATTCATTACAATTAACATCAGTAACACAATAAAAAAACCATAAGCCCTCCGCATTTCATTACCAGTCATTATCCAGTCATGTTGTCCAACCGTTCCGAGATCAGAGTTTAATAGCTACACTGCGTTTGGGAAGGCCTGCTCATATAGCCAGGTTTTAACTTTTTTGCGAAATGTTAAGAGGGTGGGGGCTGATCTAATGTCCCTGGGGAGGGCATTCCACAACCGAGGGGCCACCGCTGAGAAGGCCCTATCCCTCGTCCCCGCCAATCGAGCCTGTGAAGATGGCAGGGCCGAGAGCAGGGCCTCCCCAGAAGATCTTAAATTCATAGAGGGTTCGTAAGGAGAGATACGTTCCGGAGAGGTAAGTAGGGCCGGAACCGTTTAGGGCTTTATAGGCTAACGCCAGCAC